CCTGCCCCGCGTCCGGTGCGGCTGGGCGCCCTGCGGTTCCCGGGGCCCTGACTTTGCCAGCCAGCCTCTGCTCCCCGACCAAGGGGAAGGTAACGCACTCAGGGGACGGAATCAGGTCGGAAGAGGGAACTCGGGTTCGTTCTCCCCCGGCCCTCGCCCTCCTCCAGCGCCAGCGCCCTCAGGATGGGGGAAACTGGTCTTCTTACCTTCCTACCCAGTGGCTCGGAAGGAGCCAGTCTGCACACACCTAGGCGTCTGGGGGCACAGACGGCCGGAAGGCCCGCCAGCTAGGGGTCAGAAAAGAGTGCACCTCCGACTTCCGACCCCAACCCCTTGGCTCCCCGCTGGGCTGGAGTCTGTATCCCCGTGGACCCTTGGGACCCGCGTCTCATTAACATAATACCTGATTTTTTTGTTGTTGAGTTTTTAAAAATTTACTATCGTCGTTGTTTATTTGTTTCACCTCGATAATTCGCGTCAGAGGAAATTGAGTGAATGGAAACAAAATAAATTACCCCTTGGCTGGTTCCGAAATTTGTGCCTTTAATTTGTCCCGTTTTTGTTTTTTAAAGCGTTGCTTTGAAAAGAACAGGAAAGTGTTTAGAAATTTGCTATGCAAGACTTTATGGATGTAATTTTAAAAATAATATTAAAAGGCACGGAAAGCATCAAAGGTGTTGCACACTGATCAGTTGGGGCTCAGCTGGGCCTGGGGGGGGCAAGTGTCACACACACTCCTGGACAGGCCATGGGGCAGCCATGGGCTTCGTCTGTCCTGTGGTCTTCCTGGTTGAGGCTGTGGAGAACAGGTGTCCATCTGTTAAGTCTGCTGGCAGCCCCACTGCAAAGCCATTCCGGACAGAAAGTCACAGCACAGGAGTCCAAGTTCTTCTTTCTGCCCTTGGGCTGTGGGCAAGCCACGTTCACAGCTCAGAGACTCAGTTTACCCACCTACAAAGTAGGGTGATAACAGCGTCTGCCTCAAAGGTTGGGGAGAGCCGTGAACAAGTTGTCATATCCGAAGGGCTTGGAAGGGCCTGGCACCGCTAAGTGACCCCTACCGTGATGGCTGTTGGTCCTAGGTGCTACTCCTGGGTGGGGAGGGCCAGGGTGGCCACAGGGAGGGCCAGCTCTCTGGTAGCCTGGGATCTGGGGGCAGGGAGACAGCAGTGCAGCAGAGATCTGCCCACGACCTGGGTGGCATCTGTGTTTATTTATAGATCAGGCCCCACCCAGGCCCAGGAATGGATCTACAATGCTGACCACAGGC